GACTTACTTCGTTCTCTATTGTGGGTATCGGTGTGGGTGTGGGTGTGAGTGAGGATGTGAGTGCATGTATGCTTGAAGAAGATGCACTCATACTCACACTCTGAACGCACACGTACGATCCCATACCCTGCTCGAGATAGCTCCTTTCTCACTCTCATCCACTCCGCAAATAGTAGTTTCTTATCGTAGCAACTCTACAAACAGCAAACTGTTTGCAGTCTTCTGAACAACAAAAACATCGAGTTGACGTAAGCAGATTACATGTAGAAACTCGCTTGCAATGCCTCAGCATCGCTTTTTTTGCATTCGCTCAAGAAATTTGGTCGTAATACACTTTTCTGCACTAATGTGACACTTATGCAATTGTATCCTATGAAAGCATACCGAATTATTATGATTAACAATAGAAAGAATGTGTACATGTGCATCGACGTTTGTTTGTTATATACAAACACATCATTAGATGCAAAAGAAATATGCCGCATCTTAACGGTGTCGGTGTGAGGATGTCGCTGTGGGTGTGGGTGTGGGTGAGGTGTGGGTGAGGTGTCGGTGAGGTGTCGGTGAGGTAGATGCACCCACACCCATTCACTCATCCTTATGCGCACCCACACTCACCCACTCATCCTTATGCGCACCCACACTCACCCACTCACCCTTATCCACACCCACACCCACACCCACACCCTCGTCTCGAATTGGTTTATAACAATGAAATTTTCATTCATGAAGTACCAGTGCATTTACATGGAAATGTCTTGTACGTCAAACGACCTTGGGAAGCCGAGGAGACTATGGCAATACTTCTACAAATTCTTTGTAAACAATTTCGATTACCTTCTAATTTCGAAACAGAACTCAATCATATGTTAAAAGAAGAATCAGTCAGTATTGTTGATCAATATTTTCTTGAACAGAATATTTTCATTCAACCCCATTATTTTTATCCTGAATTATTGAATATTGGTGGAGCACGAGAGAAATTTGCTGCTCAAATTGATCGAGATAATGCCGATCTATTCGCTTATTTACCTCCATCTTCATCAACAGAAGAACTGCTCCTTAATGCTCTTGAAGCTCAAAATTCCAGATGGAGTGGATATGTTTATCATTTCACACATTTAGAAAATGCTGTGACTATTCTTCGACAACGAAAATTAAAATCACGTCAACAATTATTGTCACATTTCAAGGACTCGTCTGCACTCAATGTAATTAGAGGAACTCGCGCACAAGTAAAAGAATTCGTTCGTTTTTATTTCCGTCCACTGACACCAACGCAACGTTGTAATGAAAATCTTGGTTCATCCGAACTCGTTCAACGATTTGGCAACAGACCAATATGTCCAATACCGATCTTTTTTCGTTTTAATCTACGTTCGTTATTATCCTCAAACAAGTTGCGATGGAAAGTGAGTCTAGGAAATTTAGCCAGTCCACATACCGAATTTGATTGTACTCCAGAAATTGTTAAAAAATTTGATTTTCAATATGTTTATGCTGATTTACGAACTGAACGAGGCAAATATGCTTCACAACATGAACTTTTAATTGAATCTGAATTAGATTTTGATCTATTTAATGACAATGATATTAGTCTTTTTGTTCAAGATGAAAATGCCCGTGTGAGTTTAAGTACTTTTCTTGATGGATGCCGTTATCCAATTCATATAAATACACAATATTTCTTCAACTATAATCCTCGCGTAATTATTAAACATTCATTGATCGTTCCGAAAAAGATCTCGGTCTCGATCTATTGTCCAACAAAATCTGTCGATGACCATGCAGGTGAATTATTCATCCAGATCAAATCGAAAACTCCAACAAAAACGATTACCGGTAATTTACGAGGTATTTATGAACGAGAGGACGCTTTTACCATTCTCGGTCACAAACATATCTCATTCATTCCTGAATCAGAACTGCTTCAATATGCCGTCTATTATCAGTATGAGAAACAAATTTGGCTTGTCTATACGAATTATAATAATCCGATGTTTCACGCTATCGAAGAGTAACCTGATGATATAGAGTGATTATGAGATGGTAGTGATACTGACACTTATGCTTGTATTTATCGTTGAATTTTAGTGTAGAATAAAACAATTTTCATTGCAAAAATGATAGAGCGAACTATATCATCTTGAGGATGTGGCTGTGAGTGTGGGATGAGAATGTAGGTGGGTGCATGTGGGTGAGGGTGAGGTTGTGAGTAGTCTCGTAGCCCTCATTTTCACCTTCACTCATCGACACTCACTCACCCACACCCACCCCACAATTCATGAATATTCTTTTCTCATACAACATGTACACTTGCTCTCAAAATGATGAGTTTTTAAAAGGAATATTTATTTTTCGAAATATCAGATAACATCAAAATATTTGTTTGTACTCTCATATCCTTCGAATTGATTCATATGGTGGTGGTTGTTCTTCAAAATGATCAGACAATCTTATTAATGGAATTGTGTAAGGTACATCAATTTCACGTCTTTGATGATGTCTAGACATTCTTTTACGTTTATATCGATGTATACAACAACCAGTAGTAATTATAATTAATATAATCAGAATCGGAACAACAATAGCAATGGTTTTCTTCTTAGTTGATGTATTTTTTTTACAACTGTCACATAATTGATAATAATCTATGTGAAAAACAAAAAGAGATAACTTTATATTGATTTATTCTTCTTTATTCTACCTGTTGTTATCGTAGTTGGATAGAAATAAACCGATGATGGACCAACTGCTGTGATTTGAAAACTTCCTTGAACATTTTCTCTACGTGTGGTAACAACTAAAATATAACTACCAGCAGATTGTAAAGTATAGCTGATTCGAAATTGTAGATTAGTAGCACCATCGTGGTTAGGTGCAATGAAATTTAGATAAGGACGAGATGGATCAAAAGAATTATTATAAAGAGAACCGATAGTATCCATCGAACTGTTGTCGAAAAATGTATAGAAACCATTCATAGAAGTTTCAATTCGATTCGCTTGATAAAAATAGCAACCATGATCATTAGTTGAACCCCAACGAGAAAATGTTGAACTACTACAAGATAAACTATCGCCATAATAACATAAAATAAGATAGAAAACATATATACTATATATTCTTGTTTATTTTTATTCATTCACTTTTTATTTGGTTAATCGGAGTGAAAAGAAGTAGTGTTGGACCCATTGCTTTGATCAAAAATGCTCCTGTAATATTGTATCCAAATGAAGTAATAACCAAAATATATTTGCGTTGAAATTGTAAAGTAACATTAATACGAAATTGTGTATTATCATTATTAGACGCAATTAAATTGCGATTAGAATAATATGGATCAAATGAATTTTCATAAAAGTAACCATACATACCGAATGTACTACTACTCATGAAAATATATGCATCACTCACAGTAGCTGTTATTTCAATAGCTTGATAATAATGATTATCTGAATTACTTGTCGGCCGGTTGAATTGTAAATTATCAGATGATAAAAAACCGAAATATTCAGATGTAATCATAGGTCGTATTGTGGCTAAAATAAAGATATTGATTTTAATTTGTAATGATCATGTTTTTTTGAAGAGGATCAATTTACTCACTTGTTGTCGTTGTTTCTAAAACGAAATAATCATTGTGAATGAGTTCAACATTTGATGGACCTTCAACTATGATTGTAAATAATCCTGTAACATTTGGAGAATAAGTAGAAACAATTAGAACATAGGTCTGGTTGGATGGTAAATCAAGATTAATTTGAAATTTTCGATCACCACCATTATAGTAATCATATGTAATCATACTTTGAGAAGGAATAGTTATGTCAACAGGGTAATGATGAAAAGATCCATAAATATCGAAAGTACTGTTGCTTGGAAAACTATATGAACCAGTTGAAAGAATTCTCACTGCGATCGCATGAAAGTAGTAATTGTTTGTGTAACCTTAAGGTCGCATAAATGTTGAACTATATGTGGATAAACCATTTGTGTAATTTGTTGTTACACGAGCATCCACAGCGTCTGAAATATTTTATAAAATGAAATAACAAGCAAATTATATGGTGAAACATCTTTACCATTAATGAAAAAGTTGAAAATGAGTCCAATTTTTATAATATTATTCGCAAATGAATTGTACATCATCTTGTAAAAATGGTTGTTTCTTTCAATTCGAATTATTGAAGACTTATCGACTGTATTCAACTTGAGACGTAATATATATAGAGAGAGATTATTTTCTTCTCGGCGAAAGAAAAGAATCAATATTGTACATTTTCTTTTTTCTACATAATCATATTGATTTATGGTGAATGGATTCTTATCATTGTCAAATAAAGTTATATGATCAAAGCATGTAAGATAAGTAAAAAAACAGTAGGAAGCAATATAACTACGAAATATAAAGTATAAAAGTCTAATTTGAAATTGAAATGATTTTCGATGAGCACGTATTTCTGTTTGTATTTCCAATGCTCGATTTGCTATAGTGATTCTTTATTTTCCGATGTACTTCCACATACATCTATTTGTATTTTCTGTAACTTAAAAAATGTGAATAAAATCATTTCCGAAGAAGCAAAATAACAAACACGTTGAATATCATGATTTTGAATAATAAGATGAAGATATCGAATGTTTGGCATTGTTTGCATTAATTTTGTTTCTACTAAAAAATATTGTGTTGCATAACTTTCTCGATAACCATACATTGGATTTGAAGATGGAAGACTAATATCAATCAAAAGATATTCAATCATAATCAATTTATTTTGTAAATCTTTTGGCGGATCGATATTATTATAAGATACGTATAATGCTGGACAATGAATTTCAAATCGTTTCAATCGATGTTGTAATTCATATAAAATATTTTCTAATTTAACATAATTAATTTCATGATCATAATAATAAAGACTAAGACGAGTCCAATTTGGAAAACATCTTTGATAATCTGTTACTTCGGAGTTCTAATGAAACAGTTTTTCCATATTTGATTTTTGGAAGAATCTTTTTGATAAATCGAGCCGAGTGATGAAATAAATGAAATTTTGCTTGTGAATGGTCTAATAGAGGTAAAATATCATTCGAAAATGCATTGATTGCATCATTTAATGAAAGATAGTCAGCTATTTCATCAACAACTTCCCACGAAAGACGAGTTTTTTCAGCAAAACTAAGGATCTGAAATCGGACTTTTTCGTAAAAAATTTAAATTACATTTGAATATGCATTAGTTTGTCGTGTATAATCAATGTTTGAAATTGATAATCAAATCTGATGATTTCATTTGTATTATCACGTTCAAATAATCGCATTATTCCAATAAGTAATGGATATTTTTGATGAGGAAAATCATTACAGAACTCATTAAAAAACATTTCTTTTCAATCTTTAGAGAATCTAAAACAATCAAATGATATCTTCTATAATAATATTTATATATAACTTACTCAAATCTATTTGATTCCTCTTTACTATCACATTGCCAGACAATATAGTTTGCATTTAAATAATCAATATAAACGAACATCAGAAATTGTAGGTGATGACTTTAAAAGAATATGAAAATGTCGTTTAATTTTTACGATAGTTTTATAAATTAATCGATATAATTTACTTGAACTGCGATCATATTTTATTTTATTTTTTAATGTAATATATTATAATAATTTAAAAAAAATGACTCGTTCTTATTTATATTTTTCTTCTGAGATTGTTACTGTCATATCTTATGTCAACACATATACTGAAATATGTTCGTAGACTTTCAAAAAACAGAACAACAAAAATGACGACATGTTTCTTCTTCAAGGTGTGGATGTATGTTTTGTTGGTAAATATCATTGAAGAAATTTAAAGTCATTTATATACACTTACATCTACCCCTTGTTTTTGTTTTTCGGCGAATAAGGATCAGAGTTTTGTATAAAAATTGCAGGTGAAACAGTTATTTACAAGGGAGTTTGTTGCTTGTCTTTACTTTTTTTAGATCCGTTATAAAATCATTCGTATGGCGTCTTCTTCAACACGTAAACAATGTGAAAAAGTCGATGGTTGTAAGCAAGCTGGCATAGCTCATTGTGAGGGATGTTCACAAACATTTTGCACTAGACATTTTAATGATCATCGTTATTCATTGAATGAAGAAATGAATGGAATCTTTAGCGACTACAATGATTTTAAGAGTATTCTCATTGAAGAATCTTCCAACCATAATATACCACCTGCTATTCAACAAATTGATGATTGGGAAAAAAAATCAATTGACAAAATTCAACAAAAAGCAACAGAATTACGACATGAATTATCACGACTCGTAGCTGCTCATACCGAAAGTCTATCAATAAAACTTCAAGATATAGCCAAACAATTACAGAAAGCCAAAGAACAAGATGATTTCATTGAAACGGATCTTCGTCATTGGAAAAAAAGACTTGATTATCTAAGATCGAATATCATTTTGCCATCCACTATTTTTATTAATCAACATGATAATATCACATTAGTACATGATGTTTCAGTCAGTCTTCTACCGACAGGAAATGAATTATTCGATAGTCCTTTGGGCAATGATGTACGGATTGAGGAAGATGGAGAGGTAGCTGTAGCTGTAAATTATATCACAAGATATACTGGCATATGTGGAAAAATTTTTTATGCAGTCGGTATTCAAAAAATTTCTCTAAAAATTGAAAATTCACAAAATCAATGGACATTTTTGGGTATCAAGTCAAAATCAACTCCGTTACAAAAAACGTCGTATTTGTCTAAATCTATTTATGGATGGTGTAATAAAAACTATA